AATAATGGAATAGGTCTAAAGACTTTGAAATAATAGACGGGATTTGCTTAGAAAAATACGAAGCTTTGCTGCTGCCAAGGACTTCCAAGAAATCTAGAGCTCAAGTAACGATTATTTAGGCACTGTCACCTATAGTGCAAGGCTTTTCATTTGCTGAATTCTGTCGCACTAGCACATTCAGCTTCACTGACATGCCGGAGCTTCTCTATCCGCCTGCACCTCGAACAAACGATGTGAGCGGAGTTTTCAAGAAAATTTTATATGTTCATTAAATTATGAAGAAGATGCTTGACTTTAGTACTACTCTTACGGATCATACTGCAAAGAAGGAAAGCCGTTGCCGAGGGATCTCCGAGACTTTGTGTCAGATCAAAATTCAAGAGGAACTATAGTTGTGGCATTTGGAACAATTGTGCCTTGGGATGCTGCTCCTTTGGATAAGTTGCAGTCCTTCGTTGATGTGAGTAACGTTTAACCTAACCTCAGATCCCATCTGTTCCTTTTGCTCAGGCGCTCAACAATTTTACCGAATATCGCATTGTATGGTCGTACAACGGAAGAAAGATCAGTGTTGGAAAGCACATCAAACTTTCTAAGTGGATTCCTCAGAATGATTTGCTATTACATAGGAAGACCGTTCTATTCATAAGTCACGGAGGCCTTAAGAGGTACGCTAGAGCTTAGTTTGGTTTTTTTGGATCCAAAAAAGTGGAAAAATTTTGATTTTAGCGTGAAAGAAGCAGCTTGTAGCGGTACTCCTTCACTTTTCATGCCTATGTTTGCCGAACAGATGAGAAATGCGTGGTTGGCAAAAAATAAGGTGGTAAATTCCATTTTGCACCTTTAGGGAGTTATACAGAGGTTTTTTAGGGTTATGCAGAGATACTGAACAAATTTCTTGTTTCAAAAGCTTACGTAGAGCAAAAGATCAGCGATGTACTAGGTGATCCAAAGTACGCTGCCAGAGGAAAAGTACTAAAAGAGGTAGGTGAAAGACAGAAAAAGCTAAAAGATAGTCGAGGCTTAGCAAGTTGTATCTGTTCAAAAATTTTCTACAACCTCCTTTGACTTTGCAAAAACCTAAGTTTACGTTTTCGTTGCAAAAAAAGCTCTCAAAATTGATTTTAAAAAATACAAGCAGAGCAGCAAGAAGAAAAAGACAACAAGACAACGAAACGCAAGTATGTAGTCAAAAAGATGAATAAGAAGGTCCCAACAAAAAGCAAGGTTTTGGAATA